ACAACAACAACAACAACAACAATTCAACTCAAGGTTCCCGTCTTCAACAGCAGAACATTAACTTGTCTCCGAATCTGTCGCCCATGGCCTCGATGCCACAACAGCCACTCGGTCTTGCCCAACACGAAAACACGAATATCAATCCATATCGGCCCTCTTCAACTTATATACCACCACATCCATTCAATTTCAGCCAATATAACAACGACGATATCCTTTCAGACCAGAACCTCCTGGGCCCGAAGCAACCACTGCTATTCAACGTCGCCCAACAGCACATCCTCCTCGAGTTCAATCCACGGCCCTTGGCTTATGCACCATTGCAGCCGGTGGGTCATCTCGGTATTCTTCGCCAACAAAGCTACAATACCCCTTCCGGTCCCTCGGGTGCCATCAAAAATGCCCACACCGCATAGCAACCTACAGAAAGTGCACGAACACCAGATGCATGCACTGTCTTCCAACGTACTGCCAAATAACCATATCCCGGCCGTCCAAGACCAACAAACGCGCGTTTAAGACAACCGTCACTGGGCAATGAACAACGGCTATATTGCGGACTGGAATATCCCGCAGGATTTTAGACACCTACAACAAGGCCAAAATCTCAACAACGACCTTGACCTCAATGATCTCTTCAATCAGGACTAGGAGCTTCCCTGGTTGCCGGATGGCGGAGCCCCACAGCAACAGTCGCAGGAAGAGCTCTTACTCGGCGGCTTTCACGCTCAGGGGCCTCCTGGCTCTAACAGTGACGAAGCAAACGGTAACATATCTGGCGAGGAGCGACCAGACGAGGAGCAGTTGGACGAGGACCAGTCCGACGAGGAGCTCTTCCAGGACAGTCACCTTGAATCTCCCAAGCGGGAAGAACCTCATCCGCTTGGCATGCCTCAGCAACCCGCCGCAATTCAGAATGCACATCTAAGGATGTGCAACATGCCCGGCTGTGACCAGCCTACGATGACCCAAACCAGGCGGTCTTACCGTTGTCGTGACCACTTGGATAATCCGCCTCCGCGGTCGTGGGAGACAGCTCTGAACGAGGCCGTTGCAGCCGGCCACGGATATTGCACCGGTTGCAATAGGTTGCGACCACGCCGCGCTCCCGGCAGGAACTGCTGGGAGTGCCTTTGCAAGAACCGACGCCAGAGATTTGGCGTGTGCGGCGGGTGTCCGGCTTCGTGGTGCCCGAATCGGGTCGTCTAAGAGGCATGCGTTGGCACAGGTAGGGTCATTCTTCCCTAGAGGTATGCTGGCTCATCGAGGACATGCTGAAGAAAGGGGTACTTGGAGAAGAATTAGTTCGAGTCTGGGCATAAGATCCGCATTCGAAATTCTTAAGCAGGATTGCTCTCACAACCAAGCAATCCTTACTCATTCCTGGTTGGAAGGGGAAGGATCAGAAGTTACGGGATCTTCAGGAGCGAGGTGTTCATCATGATGACACCTCACGAAGTAATCCGGTCAGTTAGTACGCCACGGTTATGGCTGTTTATTATCGGCGGATGGATAAGGTTGCACCCATACGAGCTCAGCTCGTTCTCGACAATGGGGTAGTGGACAAGCTCCTCATCGAAAAGAATGGATGGCTTTTCTACGGCGACGCAACAGGACACACCCAACCAACAGTGCGAAAGAGGACGAAAATCGGCAGGAAAGTTCGTTACAGCGGGCTCACAACTCGAAGGAGAGAGTTGTATACAGTAGCCAGTGTGGCTAGCGGGTCAAGTCTTTCAGCACGGCAGAACGACTGTCACTGCAACCGCCACGGTCGCGAATGAAGGGTTATGGATGGGACATGAGGATCTGGTAAGGTACTCAGTAGGAATATTGATTAAGGGTTTGCAGTTTCTTTTCTTTTCATCGTCCCTTTTTGTGTCTTCTCCTCCTTGTTTTGGTTCTCACTCCCTTCGTGTTTCAATCCATGATTACGATCTCTCGTCAACTTCCTTCGTCTGGAAATAAAGACCATCATGCCCCTGAGGTCCAAGACCGTACTGAGTGGTCCATCCCGTTGAGAAGTCGCTCGGGTTGCAGTTTCGCAAGATCCATTGCTCCCTCCTATCTTCTTCCTTTTATTGATGCCCAGTCTTAAGAAGGCAAGGCCTTAAACACTGCCAGGTTGAGGTGCCGAGTGTCTGAGAAACCACTTCATAACCGAATGCTTGTTGGCATCATCGATGTACACATGGACTATCACTCATTTACACATATTAAAGGTTTGGCCCTCACTTTCGCCCCTCCCTCTTCTCGCTCAACGATCAACATAAAGTCCACCCCCAGTGTGGCAGTCGTATTCACGTCCACTGCGCTCACCTCGGCACAAGAAGAGAGCATGCCTTTCCCATTCGGAATCAGCATGATGGCATCAAACATTTTCACATTCCAGGTCAGTCACCTACATATATAACTACGACGCTATTAGTACATGTCATTCTACATCAAATCGGCGGGCCTTGAGATTATCTTGACCATACAGTGGACGAAGGACTAGGTTGGCCCGATCAACGGATGACACGGGTCAAACAAGTGGGATAATAGAATGGAGGTGGAGGTATAACCTTGGAAAATGTCATTTGGGCCTTCATTCAACATTCACCGAAAATATTGCAACTGGGAACCTGAAGCCAAATGTTGCCATGGGGACACATTCATTGAGCATGCTGCACCATTTACTTAATACCGTATTTCCTTTTTCTCCAGCAACCGAAAAATTGGCCAATTCTGTTTTCAGAAGGGTTTAAAACCTGACATCACATTCCATTCCCCCCCCCCCCTCCTCTTTTTATCCTTTTATACCAACACTTCAAAACCAAGCTTCTTTACGAACAGGAAGGTAAAGGTACCTCCTTCGTCAAGAGTCGAGGAGGTCCGTTGGCACACTTTCCCCTCTCATCCTCCGACATAGTTCAACATGGAACTCACGCGCCCCGACAACGACGGCGTGTACCAGGCCCCCAAAAGGCGGAGGGTCAAAAACCCGGTAGAGGAAGGATTCCATCACCAAGAGAGTCCTCATCACCGTCATCTTTCAAGTCATCCCCCTGCACACTGTGGTCCCCCTTACAATGGTGTGACGAACCGTTACAAGCACAGGAGTATTATCGCTGGGATAGAACAATAGAGTAACGGAGTAGTAGCCGAAAGGTACTGGTAGATTGTGATAGCTATTGCTTGCAGGCCACAGGTAAGCAGGTTAGCTTCTACTCTGGCTTGCATGCTGGCAAGCACGTACCTATCGTCCTGTCGCATATATATATCCCTCAGTCTGCATCCACACCACCTCACATGTACACATAGCTCGCAAGTAAAGTGTGCTACATTTTGGTTCTTCAAAGTTGGGCTTCCGATAAACGTCTCTAACAGGACTGATAACGGTTCATGTCCAACCTGATCCTTCATCGAGGGCTAGTGACCACCAATCCCCAGATACATGCAAAGAAAACCTGAGGGCCAGATGGTGAAGTATTTAACTTTGTGTAAACCTGAAGCTATACCAACCCTTCACTATGCCTTGGACGCAAATTGAACCTTGGGATTTGGTCGCTCTGTCCTATAAATTCTGTCTTTTGACCAGCCATAACCCTCTCCTCCTTCTACCAGCATCAACAATATTTCCACAGTATTGTATCAAAACAGCAAGGACTTGCGGCCTTGCACAACAAACAACTTCCATCCAGACGCACATCCCTTTTCGTAAGTCCATTTTGACGGAACTGTAAGCGCACCGCAGTGATAAGCACTGACAGCGATTCATCGATACCTCAGCTTCGGCGATGAGAAAACAGTCCCGTGACAATGGATGAGGATTATTACCGGTACTGGTACCAAGTCTTGGCCGGCCAGGTGCCCTGGCCGGACCCAAATCATCCGGATCCGGTAAGCCTTTATGTCCCACTTCCACGCGCAAATCACTTTACTAACACATGTCCGCAAACCAGGCCAACGTGGGCGCAAATGTCGTGCCCTTTCCTCCCGAACAGCACGCGCCCGTCGAGAACCCGCAAGTTGAGATCCCGCCCATCCAGAACCCGTCCGTCGAGAATCCACCCGGCCAGCACGCACCCGAGCAAGCTGCTGCTCACAACAGCCCAAACCCCAACGGGGTTCCCCTTGCCCCGCCTGCGCCTTCTGCAGTCATTAACAATATTTACAACTTTAATGCTCCGGTGCAGCTTGGGGATCAGGGACTTCCTCGACCCATGCCGCTCCACTTCAACATTCACGGCGGCGGTTACGTGAACGGTGGCAACGCACACGGCGGAAATGTCCAGCACAACCAGCTAAGCGGCGGCAACCACAACGACGACTTGAACTGTACGAATGTCCAGAACAATCACTTGAGCAGCGGCAAGCATCAGAACAACGAATTCGGTGGCAATAACGTTGGAGTTGACGCGGTCCCCGCTCCGAACCCGGCTCTGGCCCCGGCCCGTAAGATCTGTGAAGATCCAACTTGCGACCTTCCGGTCGAAGACCCTGGTTCCCGGGTCAGAAAATGCCAACGTCATCTGTTGAGCAAAGTGGGTCCCGGCCGGGCTGCAAGGATGGCCGCCTGCCGCGCCGCAGGCTTCGTCCCCTGCCGTGGCTGCACCACGGGTCGGTCCCAGAGGGCCCGGGGAAAGTCGTGCTGGTACTGTGAGCACAAGCGCCAGAACAGAAACCCTGATGGATGTCCCGGCTGTCTTTTTGAGGATTGTCCTCGCAAACCGGGACCGTATATGGCTTGAACCAACAAAGTGTTTTCGGTTCCTTTGGATGATCACTTTATCTGTCTCCAGGTGTTATCAAGACGGGAGTTTATGGTGTTATGAGGAGTTTGTTGCTACGAAGCATCCTGGAGGAGGAGATCGGGTTTGTTTAAATAGCTTTACCTCTGTATCATCATTTTCCATCTTTACACTCCTTCATATTTGGCGTTACAATAAACATACATTTATCTAAGAAGAAACACACTTTATTGTCAGAGTTCCACTTTCAATAGTTCTTGCAAGACTGTCGAAGTGCGTTGTTCGTTCAACCCGACGCCTTGGAAGAAGGAAAACGAAGGGCCGTTGTGTGGCATACGCTTCAGGGTCTAGGTAATCCGTTATTGCATGTCATTGTATCCGTGTATACGATGTACATGGGTTGCGCTTCCAATGTTCTGTCATCGAGGGGGAAGAATCTCTCGAGATTGTAAAAGACTTGGGGCGGCCTGATGTTAGAGTTTCTTTACCACATTCTTCTGCTTCTTTTGTGATAGCTTCGGGTGGTGATATATGTCGTTGAGCTCGGATCAATGGAGGATTCAAAATAGAAATCCGTGTTTCCAGTCCCTGTGCCATAGCTCCAAGAAAAAAAAGTGATCACAAAACCGATATCCACATCATGAAACGTGTGTAACCGGTAGCTGTACCAAGAAATGGAATGTCAGAGCTTCGGACAATGAGCATTTTCGTGTAACATCATTTCATTACATTCATCGTACAAATATCTGGACTTCCTCGGTTTGAATGTTGATCTCAAAATCCAATCGGACAAGATCACCTCAACAACCTCTCAGTCCCTACAATTCAGCTTTGTGCACCCCGCCTACTTACACTCACCTCACAACTGGACACATCATTCTATCTGGAGCTGCTCTCAGTCGTACCTCCCCCTACCAAACCCTCACCCCTCACTCCCAAAGTCACAATGCCGCCAACCCCCCGCTACCGCTCAGGTCTCAACACCGCCTACCACGCCCAAATCCGACCCCCGAAGAAGACCAAGACCCCACCCTCAAACCCCATGACATCCAACTACAAGCCGCCCAAGATCAAGACCAAGAAGGAGTACACGCACGAAAAGTGCCCAGGCCCCGGTATCAAACTGAGCACCCTGTTTGGTCTTCGGACCTGGTACATCCACCAAAAGATCAGAAAGACTGGAAAAGGATATGCCAAGAAGGGAATGCCGTGTTATAAGTGCGAACATTTTCGGCGAGATAAGGAGGCGAAGAAAAGACATCCGAGGAAGGAGTGTGATGGGACTTGTTTATGGCCGCATTGTCCGAGGTATCATATTGGGCTTTATCGGGAGCAGGTTATATCGTAGAAGTAAGGCGGGTGTGAGATGGTGGCGTGGTGGCTTGCTAGCGTGCTGATGATGGGTAGAGGGAGTTTGAGTTGGAGTGTTGAAGTCGGCATCGACAAGGGATGGGAGGTTGGAATATGAAACTGTAAACACTGGGACACAAAGGAGATGGAACAAAGGAAGGCGTTTTGGAGATTTATGATAGTTGAAAGGTGGTAGCAGTGATTGTTTGGAAATGTCTTTGAATGCGCTTTGTTCTCCAAATCTTCCCGTTTGCATTGTGCGAATGTTACCGCCCGTCTGGCGGACTGAGTGTGGTGGCTTTGTCGCCCACTTTTCTTACAACTTCTTGGTGATTCCCATGAAGATGGATCTTGTCTTCCATCCAAGAGATTACCCGTTCTGGATGCATTTGACCCCAGGTAGATTATACGCATGCGATAGCTTTCCTTCGGAGAAGAATTCTTCTCCTTCACTCTGTTATTGCCCCCCTTGCATGCTCTGCAAGTTCGTCCCCTACTCCCTTAGCTGTAGGTTGGCTATCAACATCCCGTCTGACAGGTCTCCAGAGCCGGATCCAAACCCAGATCCACTTGCACTTTCAGCGGGAGGTTTATACAAACCCCATTCGTCATCCTCGTCACCCCTGGCGTCGCCGTTGTCTTCATCTTCGTCCTCAGCAGAGTCGTCGCCAAAGTCGTAATCCCCTCCTATAACTCCAGGATGGAAGTAGTGAGCAAAATGCCTATTCTCACATCCCTCGTAATAACAACCAGAGCAGTAGTCTCCCTCCCCCTTTCCTCTCCAATATCGACACATGTACTCGTGCCAACGTCGCCAATCGTAGGGCTCGTGGGCACCGTTGTCAGTGGTACTATTGTTGTTATTGTGACCGTTGTTTTTGTCGTGATCATTCTTTTCTGCGTGACCCTCATCAACGTGGCTCTCATCAACGTGTCCCTCGTCAATTTCGTCGTTGTCCTCGTCGATGTCGTCTTCCAGGCTCTCACATACATTCTCATCATCTACATTACTGTCTTCCTCCTTGTTGCTTTCCTCCTTGTCTCCCTCCTCCTCGTCTCTCTCCTCGTGGTTGTTCTTCGTGTATGTGACGTATTCCAAAACTTCGTTGTTGCTTTCCTCGTCAGCGTCCTCTTCTCCATGTTTCTCTGCCTCCTCCTCCTTGTCATCCTTCTCCTCCTCCTCCTACTCATCATCATCATCATCGTTATCCTCCTCACCACTAACAGGGTAAAGCACCTCCCCACGAGGATTCTGATACCCCAAGTGTCTATTCGGGCAGTTTTCCCACAGACACCCAGGACAGGTACCGTCCAACCCCTTCCTTCTTAGCCTTGCACACAATTTCTTGTGGAAACACTTCCAACAATGCAATTCGTGGCCGCGTCCCGCCGCACCGGAGTTACAACCTGTGCAAGGCCATTTGCCAGCGGCCTTGGTCTCCAGCATCCTCTTTTCCGCATCGGAGCCTGGTCTGTACATCGCCTTGTTCTTCAAGTGATCTCGGCATCTTCGCCCACCACGTATGTGGACTTGGGCGTTACATCCGTTTACCCCACAGATCCCTGCGGCTACCGGAGTGTAGGTAGTGGTAGTCGGCGGAGTGGGTGAAGCGGGCGCGCTGGGTAAGATGGGCGCACTAGGTTCGAGAGAAAGATCGGGTCGATTGGGCGGCCTGAGAGGAGCAGCTGGAGGGGTCGTGGTGCGCATACGGACATGGTTCGGGCTGGGCTGTCTCGATGATGAAGCCGCAAATGTCTGGGATTGATGAGGACCAGGTTTATGAGACCTCAAGGACTCAGGAAGCATGGCCGAAGATGTTGGCGCGTAATTAGGAGTCAGAGCTGATTGTTGGAAGTTGGATGTCGAGGGCGGCGGGACAAGCCAGGCAGCGAGTTGAGGGTTGCTTGATTGAATCGCAACTGGAGCAGACGGTGGCAAGCGAAGGTTCGGGTTGGGCTGTCCAGAAGAGGGCGTTGAAGAAGCCTGAGAAGGCTTAGGAGCAAGTTGACGTGATCTTGATGACTCAGGGACGATGGCCTTCGATGCTTGCGCGTGACCTGTTGACAGAGGGACTTGCTGGGAAACTGATGTTGAAGAAGGCCGGACAAGCAAGTTGGTAAATTCAGGGTAACTCGCTTGAATCGCAGCTCGAGCGGACGGAGGCAATTGGAATTCCTCTATGGTGAGCAGCTCCGCAAACAATGATTGCGCGCGCGATAATTGCCCAGAGGTCTGAGAGTTGGAGCTCGCCTGAGCCGTTGGCCTTGGGTTCGGGGGTTCTGTGGCAGAGGTGTCGGTATCTCGCTGTGTCTGTCCGAGGGAATGTCGTGATACTTGTGCGCCTTCTTCTTGGGATGTCGGTGTATTCATGGAATGAGATGGTTGTAAGCGTGAGGAGCGTCGCAGGCGGGAAGGGCTCTCGCTTGGTGACGCTTGGTCTTGTGATTGTGAACGGCTTGACTTCGGTGGCATCTTGATCGCTGGTAAGTGGTAACATACAAGCGAAAGCTTCACCGTGCAGTTTCGTATTGGGCAGTTGTTCGTTGAGTGGGTCTCGCGCACAGTCTTCTGGTTGGAACATACAACGTATTAGTACAACGTTGGCCGCTGTGATAGATTTGTAGAAGAGGAGAGAGGTTTCAACGCAGTTCTAGACGGCACTTGACAGTCCACGAACTGAAACTGTGGGGCACGAGGGCAAGACAATATTTGAGCAAACATATAGGTGTTAAGGGACACAACACAACTTGCATGGGCGGAATAGTTCTTGGGGGATCCTGCAAATCATTGTTTATGTCATCAACCGACTCGTTGAAGCATGGGAGCTGTAGATCATAAGAACCCAATAGTCACGGGCAAGGATGCAAAGGAAGAAGCAGAATAGCAGGCCCATCCAGCATGAACTAGAACAACTATGTTCTTTGTGTTGTGAAGACTAATGAAAGAAAGCATACCAAACTTCAGGGGGATCTCCAGACTTTACAGTCTCCAAAGCCAGTGTTGTTTGACCACCAAGTTCCATCCCCGAGTATCAACACTGAACTTTGAATCTCTCCTCCCCTTACAGTGCCTAGCCGCTGTTAAGTCTCCCCTTGTACTTCCTCCGATTCAAATACCCGTCCTTGAGTTCGTCTCCTGTTTCTCATTCATATTCCATCGCTCACGGTAGGCTCGTTGTCGTGATTGGTCGACGGTAGTGGTAGTCTTGGGGGAAGGAGATTTCCGCGTGCTGTCAACCGCTTTGTCTTCTTCGATTAAATAGGATTGTCCCATGATGGCGGCATGGAGCGACTGGTTGTAACTTGATGTTAGATTTGCGCCGTTGGATCACCTGGCTCCTGTAGAAGTAGTGAGCATCAAAGTACATGTACGCTTTATGTTGACTGACTGGTCAGTGATAAGCTTACCTTCAAGCTCTAATGCGAGCCTTAACGGCGGCAAAGCCACTCCTCACAACCTCGACGACGTCGGCAGCCCTGTCAAAAGCCTGGATAAGCTCCGCTGTAGCGGCAACCAAGGTGCCCGTACGAACAAGAATCTTCTCCATTCTGAGTACAAGCTCCTCAGCCTCCTGAACAATGGTCCAGGCTCGCTTCAGAGCCGCATCCGCCTTTCTAACCTCGCGAAGTGAGGCTTCGGCGTTCTTCTCGTCCATGCTGGTGTAGGCAGCCTCGGTTGCGGCCCAGTAGTGGACCGCAGCTTGCCTAAACAGTTTTTGGATCCGTTTTCCAAGCTTTTCCACTCCCTCGTCAGGGCAGGGAATGGACATCATGTTGCCATGCTGGGCCTCGCGCATGTAGCAAAAGCCGCAGGTAGTGATGGCTGTGGCGGCGTTGGTGGTAGTGAGCTGGAAAGGCGCCATTTTGCTGTGTTCTCAGCTGCTGAACGCTCAGCAAAAGATGCACAAGGAGGAAGTGCGGGGCAGTCTTTCGGTGGATTGTGTCGCTGGCCGGTAATGACGAAAGGAGAGGAGGAAAGAGAGCGAGGAGGTACCGAAAAAAACGGGTCGAAATGCGCTACAGTTTGCGATAGAAAGCGGGTGGTAACGGCGATGTGCTCGTGCTATATTGATCGCTGTACTCGGGGTAATAACTGACCACTACCAGACTGTGATCGAGTTGCGAAGTTGGAAGAAGGAAGGAAGAGTTTCCCCTCGGGTTGAAATGACAAACAACGGTTGCCCAGTGCCCATTCACTCGTAAACAACATGGGGCGGAATCGATGCCCTTGTCTGTTGAACGTGCCCGGGATGCCCGTGCGCTGCCGGGCGGAAGCAAACAGTTTCTTGACCTTCATCCGGCCGAAGAGGGGTAGAGACTAGAGGGCGGTGTTGTCTGAGGACTCTGAACTGGTACACGAGCTCTAGCTAGTACCTCTATATATGGGGTATGAGCTGGTTCGCTGGTATTCTTGTATGAATAATGACTGGTACGGTACACAGTAGGTGCGCCAGGACCGACGGTTGTTGTTGTTGTTGTTATTTTTAACGTCTACTTCCGCCTCCCGTAGGTCATGAGACGTGCCGCACCGGTGGGTCTAGCATACAAAATTAAGAGCAATGCCCTGACTGTCCACCAAAACCTTTAATCCGAGGGCAAACCGAGGCCTATTGCCAGTGTAAATCATGTGTTGCCCATAGTGTAAACGCGGCCCAACACTTATAATCGAATCGCCCAGTGAGCGAGCCAGGACCGACGGTGTTAGCGAACGGCGATCGGTAGTGTCTATGGGAGACTTGGGTCGATAGGGTAATGTGTGTGTGGTTACATGTAGCACCTACACTGTGTGTGCCAAATCACATCATGATGCTCCTTCAGTAAGTATACGCATGTCATCTGTAGAGGTAGGTAGAGGTAGAGAAGGCTCGTTCAACATTATCACGTTCACACAGCCATGAATTGCCCGGTTGCCCACTTGGGGTCTTGTCAAGTTCTCGGTGATACTTGCTGGTCGAAGGACATGGGGTCTTGGGAACCAATTAACACGAGTCATAGGAGCTTGAAGAAACCCAACAAAGGAGCAAAGGAAGAGCAGAGCACGACAACCAATTCGGAGCAAGAACAACTGTGTTCTTGATGTGAAAGAAGAAATGTGATATCATGTAGCGAACAAATGAAAACTGTAGAACTGAACTCGTACATAACTCCCCCAAAACACTGGGTATCTCGAGCAGCTTGCAGCGATGGATGGCGTACCCGAGACCTCAAACTCCTCCAAGCCAGTGGCGACTAACCACTTGACACAGCCATGAAGATCCTACTCCTATTCCTTCCTCCACCTCAAACCGTGCTCACCGAGGAGCCGCTGTAGCCATAACGGCCGGGAGTGCGGTTTGGAAAGCGATATGTTGACCGGATAGACGGCTTGGTATTCCCGAGTCTCGACGTGGTGAGCAACTATTCCGCCCATTCGGCGATCCGTCGGTTTCGGTTCATAGTCTTCCGGCCCCGCGACTCGGAGTCACGCTTCAACCGCTTTCACCTTCTATCTTCATCCTCCCACATTCCTTTCCCAACTTTCTGAAGACGCGAGGTGTCGGGGATTGGCCGCTCATAGTCTCCGGCGAAGGGGTTGCCGTCCTGGTTGCGAGTATCGTGCTCTTGGACTCTTGGAATGATGAGGTACTGTGCTCGGCGTTGATTGCGTTGAACAGCTGCTCGACCCGACAATTTGTGCCGTTGTCTCGTCGTGGTTGACGTCATTGATTTGTTTGCCTGCTTCATAGAGGTGAGGATGCATGGAACAGATGCCTCGACCCTCTGTTGGGAACCCATCAATTCTTAACCCAGCCCAGCCTGACGAGGAACGACCGCGAGTAAGGCGTCTGCCACGAGGTTGGTTACCTCTTCGGTCCTGGTAAGGGCCGCAATGAGCACACCCTCAGCCTCCACTGCTTTCTCCACATGGATGCCGTGCATACGGGCCAAAATCTCGAATGCAGCCTCCAAAATGGGCGAGGATTGGATACAAGCCAAATGCGCGTTGTCAACCGCCTGAGCAGCAGCTTCGGCGTCCTGCTCTTGGTTTTCGACGGGAACTACGTCAATCGTGGCTTGCAAGTTGATCTTGGCCCGTCGGATCAAGGCCTCCATCCTTCTCCTCAGCGTGTCAGCGGTCCTCATGGCGTAGCAGTGCGGGCAAGACCTCCCAGGCGCCGGAGACGGGCGAACAAGACATCTACCGCAATAGACGCCACCAGCGTGCAGGATTCCATACATGGTTCTCCTGCGGACTGGGCCAGGGCTGTCGCTACGGCACTCTAGACATGCCTTGGCTCCGGGAACGTGAACCGGCCTCTCCTCATACTGTCCGCAGTGAGGCTAAGTCGCCTCGAGGTAAGCGACCCAGGCGGCGGGCGGGTGGTCGTGTGGGTGCTGGCCAAAGGGTACGTTTTCGGCCATCATAATGGATTAGTGGATATGGAGTGCGGTCGAGGTACCTGAAACTCCGGTGGTCTTTGGTTGTTGAGAGTTCTTTGTCCTGGATGGTGCGGACTGCGTTGCTGGAAGTCCACGAGTAGCGAGTGCTGATCAGCGTCGTGGAAATATATCTATAGGCCATAGCAGATGCTGCAGATTGTCCGGTGGGAAGGTGACCCGGAGTGGCAGATATGGTGTTGACCCTGGCAGCTTGCGACCTTGTGCCGCTCTGTACAATGTGGTAGTGTTGACCTTGGCCCAGGGACTCCAGGATCCGTGAGCGCCACCAACGCAGTTGTGGAGAACAGGTCGATGCCATTTGGTTGTTGCGGTGGGAATTGAAATACAGTGTCCCAGGATGGCCGGCGACGAAAAGCAATGTTTGTCTAGTGGCGCGAACGTGCACGGGCAGAATGTTAGAGGTATGCAATCTTACTGAGCGGTTGAGATGTTGAAAATAGATTGATATTGACTCGGGAGAATAGGTGTTGGTAGATGCGGGATAGAGATGATTTTGCAAGGAGATAATGATGGCGGTTCAGGCGTGCTGGCTCGATGTTTGTGCGGGCGGCAACAATTGACCACGATGGAGCGATGATCGAGTTTTGAAGCTAAGAAGGGCGAAAAAGCCATCTACCCACTGAGTGAAGGGTACGAACGATGCTTACCTCGCTGTGTTCACTCGCTGGTTGGGTAAGAAGTGGGACTGGAGGAAAGTGGGAAATGGCAGGATTAATACCGACTGAACGAAATACACGGGCTCGATCTCCGCCGATATCGTCGCAACAACTCCTAACTATTCCGATTACTGTTTCCACAACATCTACACGATCGCCTCCGATGCGTTTTGCCTCTCCTCCATCAGCAAGCCCGACGCCTCTTGTCCTCCTTGACATCATCCTCCTCGCCACTGTCTCCTCGACACTTCTTCCCAAGAGCCTCCGACACCACGACCGATCATATCCCATTATAGATTCTCGCCGCCATCGCCGCCAGCTTCCTATTGAACCCATCATCCATCGGCATATGATGTCCGCCCTCGATCCTAAACACCTTCCTTGCCGACAGCTCGAAGAACTCGATCATCGACTCGCTCTCGTAGTTATACGGATCGCCGCTCGCCAACACGTGGATGCTCTCCGCCTGCACCTTGCCCAGTTCCAAACATGCCTTCGCATACGGACTCCTTCGATCCTTGGGGTCCTTAATCCCTTGAAACGGACAGGTCGGACACACCGTGATGACAAAGTCAACCGCTCTATCTCCTCCCCTCTCCCGCTCAAGATGTCGCAGAAGATGGAGCGCCGCTTTGGCGCCCTGCGAAAAGGCGACGATGCCGTCGAAAGGACCTTCGGTGTGGAATACCTGGAGCATATCGTCAAGAGCTGGGAACGTGTCGAGGTCCTCGAGATCGGGCGGCTGGTCGTGCATCCACTTCAGGAAGGGGTCCATGCCGGCGAAGAAGGGCAGGACGCCGGGGCCGGCCGGGCACTCGATGGGAGCTGTGACGTAGTGGAGGTCGAAGAACTGGGAGAGAGCGGCATCGAGCTTGCGGGCTTGGATGCGGAAGATATCGGGCGTGGTGCCGCCGCCGTGGATCATGAGGATTTTGGGTCGCATGGTTGCCGCTCGCAGCTGTTGTGCTGTCGTTGAAAAAGATTGGATGTGTGTAGTCGTACACTGTCGCGCGCTGATCTTGACGAAGAGTTTGACCGTGTGTCAAGGTATGTCTGGATTCGTTTGGTGAACGTCAGAAGCGGCATCAGAGACTAACGATAACGGTGCTCAAAAAGTCAACCAGAAGAGAAAAAGGACGAGTTCCATACGGGGACTTTTGAGCATATGAAGTCCATATCTCGCCGACGTCTCCGATGTCGCCATGGTCGTACACTCGAGGTCGCGTTACGACAGAGCCACAAAGGGTCCTTGCAGCTTACACCTCCCAAAGCGGCCAGAAGTCTCGTTGTTACACACGCGATCGGAGTGGCTTGGCATGGTGGAATGTCAGACTTTGGCCGGTACGACGATAACACAAGGACCGCTTCATCAAGGGCACGAGATAACGAGGTTTGGAAACAGGACGGTTCAACCAAGCGATTGCATCGCGCTTTTTATGGGTCTCCCGTGTCGCAATCTTTGGCGACATCATCTCCTCTCGACAACGGGCGCCGCTGAGCCCAACACAATCCACGAACAACGCTCACAAACTTTTGATATCTCGATGTCTCTTTATTCTCCTCGTACCATATTCTCACTTGCTAGAGGTACAGTTAAGACCATTCCCCCTTGTGACTGCATTGCCGGAGCAACGCCTTCTCGCTCTTAAACGAATGAGCGGCCGATGTTCTTCATAAACCTTCTCGGCAGCCGTAGCATCTCGCCCCATACAAGTGGTTGAAGATGTTACAGCACGGGCCCGGCGTCCAACAAGGCCGAGTTCCCGCTGCGGATACCCTCATCGAGGGCAATGAGGTTGGCCAACTCTGGACCGAATTTTCGCTACTTAAACGTCAGCCACTTTCGCGACCGATAGAGCGTCCTGCAAATGCGAAGCAATGAAGGGAGGAAGCGCTTGTTCTTCCCACACCTATGGCAATGGCAAGACTCCTTGCTGGTTGTACACCCTCGACGACCGTGTCGGAGCCGCCCAGGTGATGGGGGTTTTCGAGTTTAGAACGACGGAAGCACGACAGCCTATTCTCTCATGCGGTAACTCTAACGGCAGATCCAACAGTTTGTATGCTTCCAGTACTGACGAAAAATGTATGTCAGGTATCACCGGAGGAGTACCAATCACCCAATCGGCACGCGAAGCAGGAAAGAACCAACCCGCGACCCAACTGCCAAATAAGTGCACCGCCCTCAGCCAAACCGTCCATCGAACCGCATTCGAATGAGCTGTCGACGAAGTAACTTGTCCCGGACTGAGCGTTCTTGAGCGAACATCCCCGAGAGACTCCTTTATGAGCAAACCATCTCGGAGAGAGCCCCCAACGAATGAGCTCCCGACTGCCCACAGCCCACAAGCGTACTGCCCACATAAGAACCGTCTTACGAGCTAATCATCCTCGATCAGAAATTTCCTATCAGTCTACGCTTGGTGCTTATATGGCGACTCTATTCCTACATCCGGGATTGCGCAAGACTTATCCACCTCCGCGATGAGAGATTCCCTCAGACAGGACAACATCTGCTCTCATGGGAATGCCAAGCGCATAACCACCGACACCGAGAGCTACAGGAGAGAAGACTAGTGCTCAGCGACGAGAGCGACGAGAGAGGGTCGAAGCATAGAGCAGCCTACGGCGTAGACCGCATAAGCACATACATACCCAGGGCTTATGAGCCATTTGTGACGAACCGTTACAAGCACAGGAGTATTATCGCTGGGATAGAACAATAGAGTAACGGAGTAGTAGCCAAAAGGTACTGGTAGGTTGTGATAGCTATTGCTTGCTGAAGAACCGGTAACAAGAGGCCGGGGAAGGCCTTCTTTTATACCGGTCTTCATGGACCCGATATACTGGACCCGTGGACCCGAACCTTCGTCTCGGGTCCCCGGGACCCGGGCTTAGGACCCGGGGCTTCGGGTCCTCCCTTCGGGTCCGATCTGATTGGTCGGCTAGTCTAATCTCCATGATTGGATCGTAACACCATTTAGTTGACACTCCGTTGTCCAGCGCATTGTCTCGCGGTTCGGAGCCACTGTCGCTGGAATAGGTCGACGAAAGATTGACCGCATGTTATACGTCTGTCACAACCTGTCTCAAGGTACTAGTGCGGTGGCTTTCCGTTAAGTTTATCCCTCTGCTCTACGAAGCAGCTCATCGCTGCATCTCTCCCGACTCCCTAACACCGGCGTTCGTCACTCTTGCTGTATCACGCAAAGGGGCAATCCAAGAGCCTATCAGGCAGTCTTGCAACCACCGCTGATCAGTGATAACCCATTACTGTCGAAAGCCACGCACAACACAGCCAGACCGACCACAGCAAGTTGACCAGAACGGTAAGATCGGTGATCAGTGTTGAACGAGTCTTATCTCTTATCTTATCGATCCTTACATGGATTCATATCTTGTACATAAACAGACTCGCCTCCTCTCGTCCTTTTCTTTCTCTTCCTTCTCCAATCAATAAGTTTGCCACTACTCTAGATCTCGTGATGCCTTCGTCTTCGTTCACTCCGTTTACTTCGATAACCAGCCCGGCCATATCGTGATCCAAAAGAGAGATCTGGCGCCGGCTTGCCCGGGTGACAGCAAACAAACGCTTGGACAACGTCTTTGGTCATGAAGACAGGATTATGAGCCGGGCTTGTGGTGACGGCGAGGAGTGACTCACCTGGCTGAGCTTGAAGCGGAGAGAGCACAGTCGCGCTAGAGCAACCAGAGGGCAGAATGAAGAGCGATGGAGTAACAATGAAGGCGAGAAGAAGAGGAACAGAGTGCTAACGAGTGCACAGGAACAGGACAGGAACGAACGCGGACGGGTTGGTACACAAAGGCAAGAGCTCCCCCTCATCGATATCTACTCTAGGACAGATCAAGGTCATTCAGGAGGAGACCAACCAGTCACCGTGCTTCTCGCTTCAGCTGAGCCTATGGAAAGTTGTCGGAGGACTGCGGTGATCATTTCATCTGCGCCGCAGGGCTATCGACTTCATCATGGGTAGCTTTGAGCGTCGGAACTGGTTGATTTCCTGAAGGGTTTGTGCAAGTTGCTTACTGAGGCCCGCAGACCGTCCGTCAGCACTAGTGGTGAGTGAAACAAATATCACCACTAGCGGGAACTGAACTTCAAGATGAAAGACCTTTGTTTCTGCAAGTAATTGAGCGGCAAGGGTCTTCCCGCCTGACGTCAAAGGAGGAAACCTTCGAAGCCAACTGCAAAAAAGGAAGCAGCGGTTTGACAAGTCCACAAGCGCCAGAGTGGAGACGGCATCCACACCAAAAAAATTCAAAAGAAGATGATCCGACCCAGGCTCGATCTGGGGACCTTCAGTGTGTTAGACTGACGTGATAACCAACTACACCATCGGACCGTGGTATTTGATGGAAGCTAAGCTCTAGAACAGGACTTACAAAGTCAAAGAGGCAAAAATGTCAATGGCGCCATTCAACCACGCATCTGCGACACCCCGAAGTCTCGACGTTCGTGACGACGTTTGTGGTATAAGAAAATCGACAAAGAAGAAAACGGATGAGGGCGACAAACATGGAGACTTCTTGAATTCCGTCTACAAAGCCATTGATGAATATCCCAAAGATGTGGCGCAAACAGGAATCGACGAGTGTCTCTTGTGCGCATGGCCAAATCTGCAGGTGGTCTAGACTGCGTGAAGCGTCGCTGCATGTCAGTTTCCAGTTGAAAAAAAAAAAAGATAGTGCATTCGAGACGAAGCACAATACGGTCGTAATTGTCAATCTTGACGGTCTCGATGATTTGTATGATCGAACATGATTCACGCCACGGCCAGAGCTATCGGCAGTTCTCTTTTAAGGCTCAGTGATATACCCACTCGAGGCCAAGTCTATCAGCTAACATGTCCTTTGAAGTACTGACTGGTTGACACTGAGATTATCAAGCTCGAGGCTCCCGCTGGGATGAGTAAGTCCACGGACGCCTCAGCAGCGCTATGTTGTTATCCGGCGATCATTGGTTGAGGAGTCCCAATGGCGCCTCGACGGCGGCCACCTTGGCGCGTTGGGGGCTGAGAGGGAAAGGTAGCCTTGCCTTGTTCGAGCAAGTTCGGTTGGTCTTGATTACTGGCTCTGATTGAGTGTTCTATGCTGTACATTCGTCTTTGGGGACTGCGGCTGGGACTCTTGGTTATCCAGAGGCGCGAGGAGTTGGGCGTCGTGGTGTCGTGGCGACGGCGATGAGAGAAGAAGGATGTGGTGAGCTGAAAACGATGGCGGCTCGACTCGTCTCGAAAGACCGCGGGCGGTGGGCATGGAGATGAAGAGGCATTGAGATGAGTAGCCGGGTGAAGAACAAGGGCGAGAAGTATATAAACCTCTTTTCTTTCCACCTTCTCGGATTACAGAATCACCATCACCATTACCATCACCATCAACTCCACTTTCAACTGCCCAACAGCACCAGACTCCAGCTAGCTCAAACAGCTCGCTTGTACATCCACCAACTTACAATCAACGTTAAATAAAGCCCACCGCCATTCTCGCTTCTCTCTTCATTGCCATCGCGGCCGCTGCCCCAGCCAGTGAGTTCTTCAATGATCTCCCACTATTTCCCACTACCTTCCGCCATATTCTTTTAGGGTCTCCTCCCAATATCACCCACCGTCTCTCCATCTAACCCCCCGATCCTATAGTCGCGGCTGAGAAGCGTACCGACGTCATTGCCCCAGAGGCCCGCGACATCTCCGCCAAGGCCGCGGAAGAAGACGTCAAGAAGCGCGAGGCGGATCCCTACTGCCAGATCTTGAAGACGTGCTACTAGATTATAGCTCACTCGGTTGGCGACTCGGGGGCCATCATCAGGCTACCTGGACTGTTCCGTCGAGCTGGAAAGGCAAAGCGGAGGTAAGGGAGGTGGTCTGGTGGATAAGTGGAGATGTCGACCGTGCCCAAATTGGGCAGGATAGGGTGGAATGGCTTGTACGGCCAATGGAAGGGGTGACGGGGAAGGATTGAGAGAGGAGTGACGGAGGATGAGGAATGAAGAAGGAGCGATCGGTGACACACAAGGAAGGAGAGCGATTAGAGAGAAACCGTAGATACCTTAACCGAGAGGAAATAGTTTCATTTCATTGTCCTGTATTCAGTACCTCTCCATCGTCTCCTTGTCTGGTGATGGTTTGTTGCGTGCTGCCCCTCGACTCGAGTGCTTCCATTGTCTCCAACCCAAGTCCGATTGCAGCCTGCAGCACGCCAGAACTTTTCATGGTCAGACAGCCCACAAGATGGTGAACTGTAGAGAACGTCTTGCCGAGCGATTACCTAGACAACACGGGGAGTTTCTTGCTAGCGGCTAGTAGGTAGTAGGTAGGAGGGGTGAGGGAGGTATGACTTCCGTGAAGTGGGCGCTAGCAAAGAGGTTGGCTGTTAGGGGCGTTCCAGTGTTGGTGTTGGGACGGGACGTTGGAAGTGGACGTTGGCAGTTGGTGTTAGTGATAAGCTGGCCGGGAAGGCGCTTAAACGGTGTCATCCGGACCCTTTGAGCCCGACTCTTGAGCAAAGCGGTAACAGCATCTGACGGCCTTGGAGGCATCAGATTGGCCGGGGCCATTATTGTGTACTGTGGTCTCGGGATCAATTTTTGACATCAACTGCTTACCGTAGGTTGCCTAGGTATATATCGCTTCTGAAGTGTACCTCCGGTGTTCATGCCATCAAGCTGAAACGCCAGTGAGAAATGGGTTGAAGCAGGATTCTTTGTTTTCTCAACATGACATCTGTTGGTTCAGATTTTTACCTCTAATGTCCGGTGGCATTCTGCGCGCTTTTGTGCACTGGCTGCCCTATACTGCCAGGCAAGACAATTGCGGATGGCAGGGAACGGGTATAAAGCCTTGAAGGACACCGGGGCTAAGGAGTCTGAACAAGCCATTGGAGCGACGACAACCAAAAGACAACAAGCACCACGAAAGGCCGCTCGGAACTCGGGAAAGCACTGCAACAATCGTCCAATCTTGCACATCCACAACTTAAACGCCCAGTGAAAAGCCTACATCCCTCCGGCCTCGAATATGTCCTCACGACATCAAGACTACAACTACCTTATCCGTCGTACACAAAACTCCGAGCCCTGAGCGACCTTCAGTATTTCCACTGGGCCCGCGGCCAGAGCAATAGCTATGCCTGTAGAGCTATACGGGCATTCCAAGAGCGCGAAACGGCCATACTCAATGAGCTCCCCTTCTGGTACACCTACGTCTTTCCCTACCCTATGCCACACAGCACAGACCCTGTTCCACAGTACTACCACGATTTAAAGCTCTCCATACCCACCACCATCCGCCTTCTCCAAGACCCAGTCTGGGGGCATCGTATAGGGTATGCTCTAGCTGTACTTCGGTACTCGGACCAAACTTTATCAAGAAGTTGTTCAAGGCGGATGAGCATTTGGAACAATGGATAGTGAACTGGCTGGAGGAGTTTAAGCTAGTCTTCCGCATACATGGGCTGGAGGAGCATCCCCTCACTTTGGGATATTGTACTGACACACTCAAAGAGCTTCAGCGGAAGAACCTGGCGCCGATCAGGGAATATGATTACGGATGATCTGGAGGATTTGTTGAAAGAGCTGCCAGAACCTGTCTACAGGAACACAGTTAGAAAAGTTTCTGTGACACGGGACGGCCTGAGCCCCTTCTGCAGGGGTATTACGGACCTTTCGAACAGTCTGTGGGCCACGGTTATCTGGTCTCTGCAAATCCACAAGAGGTTCCCCCCCCCGATACCTTAAAAATCACGCCGTGGATAGACCTGATTTCCCCCTCTCCTCTAACGACGAAAAATTGCCTCCTGTATCTCCAGGATAATGCCCAAGGCTTCCAAATCGGCTACGCAATTATGGTGCTCAGGAAGACCATGACAAATCGGGAGTCTGTACCAGGAGCCAACAGGAACAATAACTGTGGAGAGGATGATCCCGAAGACCCGTACGCGTATCTCTTGAACCAAGTCGGCGAGAACCAAACCATTCTTGATTGCATAACGGCTACATATTTCTTTGAGCTGGTTTTATCCGAATAAGGATGATCCATTCGCCGAGTACTGATGCCTCGCAGATCTGCAAGGACGTCATGAAAATCTTCTTTGACGGGAAACCCAGTGAAAATTACAAACTAATAGGAGACCTAAAGGAGGAACTGTAAATACTGGGCAAGGAGGATGAAGGGCAGATGATGGTGGCGTTACGAGACAGAAGGAGGTGGGCGGAATGGCTTTACAGAGTAATGCGGGTGGCCAAGGATCATGACCATATCGATAGCAAGTCAAGAGAAAAAGGAGGAGTAAGATGGAAAATTCTGAGTTCCGATGATTGGGTGGAAAGATGGACTGGAAGGGCTTGGGATGACTGGATGGAACAGACTTGAGGGAAGGAACAACACCCACGATCACGGACACCAAGACGAGCATACTACTAGGTAGAGGTACTTAGCCAGCTTCTGGTCCTGGAGAAGGGTTGTTTGCGAGCATGTGGTGGAAAGCATGGATTGGCATAGCGACGATAGGTACATTTCCCGAGCCAGCCAGGGTCTAAGAAGTGAAGGCTAAGTGAAGCCAGAAATCGGGTGGGGAAGGAAGTTGCGAGAGGGCAATAAGTCAGTTCCGCTCATCGTCTCATGGGTAAGGAATACGGAACAAGATGGGATTGGATGGTTACATTAGTAGGTAGCTTGGGGCACACTTATCGAAGGAAGGAAGGTCTTTTGGATGGGGAAGCAATCAGTTTACCTAGTGGCAGTCAGTTGTTACCGTAGCTGTCAGAAACTCCCAACTTAGTCGCTTGCTTGTTTATGACGATAGTTCAACCCTTTCCCAACCGTCAACGGTTCTTTCCGCCTCCGGTGTTTTCATTAGCCGGTTGGTGACGAGTGCTGACCAGGGTACCAGACGGGCCGTTGGTGCTGAAGCGCAAACAACTGTGCCATTGGGCGGCGCTTGCCCGCTTTGTGAACTCGAGACTCCACCAGATGACAGAGTGACGCACGGTATTGCTTTGTCTTCCCCCCAGGGCAGAAGATACCTAAGCTTTCCCTCTATAACTGCCTAGAGGTATAGAAGCGGTCGACAGACTGCGATATGCAAGAATGTCACTCGAGATAATGACCCTTGTATGAAGCCTTCAACGGCACACAACATGAGCACTCCAGACGCTTCTCCTCCTACTGGCACTGGCCTTGAAGTCGATAAAGATTGGGACGACAGCCCCTATGTAATGGCGCGCATTGCGATCACCAAGCCCAGCGCGGAACAGAACCCTGACGCATTCGCCCTCCTCAAACGGCTTCACAACCAGATGTTCGGGTTCAACGATACTTGGCCAGATGCCATCAAGATGCTGTATGAAAAGCCCTCGTTAGCCTCGATGGTCCGCGAGTGGCCCGCCTTCCTCGTCTTCCCCTGTCTGCGCGGTCCGAGCGGCGAGAAATTCAACATCGACCTCGCGCGCAGAATCCTGCGTGACGACCAGATGAGATTTCGACTTGGGTATGCGGTGTCGGTCCTGGGCAAAATCTTTGAGGGCCGCGGAGTGGGAAACGCACGAATGGTCCAATTTCAGTCTGGGAGAGAATTTCAGAGAGTTTTGGAGGTTTCTTACGCTTTTCGACTTTCTGGTGTTTCCTTCGCAGAATAAGGAGTCCAAGGAGCGATTTTCTGAGCGCTTGTGCAACAACATACTGTGGAAGATATGGAAGCGGAGGGAGCCCGAGGTGAGAATGTTTTGGCGAAAGCTGGAAGAGGAGGGAAAGATTCCGGAGGAAGAAGAGGCTGGAGTGGGAAAAGCGCGAGAAGAGCAGCCTGAAGAGGGATCCCCGAATTCTGGGAAGAAGTGGAGAGTGAGCGGAACTCCCTTTGATAGGGGCGTCTCCAGGGCGAATTCGGACTTGCATGCGCTCGGAAATAAGCCAGAGTTGGAGTTTGACGCTGACGCATGGCAAGATCCGGAGCCCGAATCACCCTCGGCCGACACGCCGATGAGCGATGAGGAGATGGATCGAAACTTAACCACAGTTGGCCATGGCTGGGATGGAGAGCGCATCTTCTATCGGCGTGGAACTGATGGCCAGTGCGACCATTGTCAGGGTTCGCTTCCACACGGCCCAGGGAGAGAGGAGTTAGTTTAGCTCGTCAATTCGAGGTACTCACAGTGAGAGAATACAGTCCGAAATAGGATGGGGTATTTTCACTGGGTCTCGTATAGGTACACATTGTATTTGGAAGGGACAGATTTGGGTTTGGGTTGAAACGCGTTGGATCAGTTTGTCATCACCTCTAAAGGTAGCCATTAGCAATCTCAATCGTAGATGTTCGTTCCATCTTTTTGCAAGTTGCAACTTACCTAGAGGTACTGTACTTCACAATTTACACATACCCTCCCTCTCATCCCCTTGACCTTTACCCTCATCAGACTGCCTAGGTACCCTCTCTATCTCACTCTCCTCCCACCCCTCTCACTCCTCTCACCTCTCGCCTTTCACATTCATCCCAAATACATCCGCTTACCGATCTGCTCCCCTCACACTTATCACACATGCATCGCCTCACCACCCATAACCCGCCCGCCGGCCCCAGCTGTCCGCCTTCGCCTCTTTCTAACCCGCGACAAATAGGACGACCAACGCGATGATGAGGAGGGTAGATCCGATAATTTCTTTGGGGTTGTCGTGGTTGAGGTTTTTCGCTGGGTCTGTTATGTTGGCGTTACTAGAGGTAGTGTTGTTGCTAGTAGTAGTGTCTGGTGTAAGACTAGGGACGGGGGATGGGGAAGTTGAGAGTTGCTGCGGGGTGTGATTCCTGTTGGTAACGGGGACTTGGGTCTTGGGACCTTTTTATATAG